AGATGTGTGTGTTCATTAGTCCTTCTGAGCACCTCTTCCTTCAGATTTGTGAAAAATAGGTTAATTTATGGCCTGGTTAGAAGTCATTAACTCTTTATCTTTACCTTGTTCAGCAAAATCACTCATGGGGCTTTTGTGTTGCTAGAAAATCTGAGTGAAGGCAGGATGGACACTGCACTTGGAAAGCAAAGCAAAGCAAAGCTTTGCTTTTTCCTTTTTCCTCTAGTGCATTCTCTCCAGTGAAACCTTCCAAAGACAGAGCTCTAGGCTATGGAGATTTGCTCCAAATACTCCTGTATTACGTGCTTTGGCACTTCATCATAGAATCCAGCTCTCAGGACGATTGAGCCTTTGGAAGAGCACAAGGCTCTATTCTTTGTCCTGGGATGATTCACCCTTCAGTCCACCCTGAAGGGCTGTCTCTAATGTCTTGTTATAGATTGCATCATGTCGAATTTAAAAAACACTCTTACAAAATTTGAAGCAAGGTTATACAAAGTAAACATAGGTATGTGATTGTGTGTGTGTGTGTGTGTGTGTGTGTGTATGAGCCATATATGTACTTTAAAAATAGATGAATCTTCAAACAAAGATCATCCTGTATAATTCCATTTATATAATACTCTCAAACTGACAACACTATAGAAATAGACACAAGATCAGTAGTTGCCAGGTATTAGGAACAGGGTGACTATAAAGAGAACGCTTTGTGGTGATGAATCATTTCCAGATCTTGATTGTGGTGCTAGTTATCCAAATGTTTTGTTGCTGTTTAGTTGCTAAGTCATGTCTGACTTTTTGTGACACCATGGACCATAACCCCACCAGACTCCTTGGTCCATGGGATTCTCCAGGCAAGAACACTGGAGTGGGTTGCCGTTTCCTTCTCCAGGAGATCTTCCTGACCCAGGGATCGAACACTTGACTTGTGAGTCTCCTGCATTGCAGGTTGATTCTTTACCACTGAGCCATCTGGGGAAATAAATTTTTACATGTGACAAAGATTCATAGAACTAAACACACATACACCAAGAAAAAAATAGAAAATCTCAGAAAGAAGATTATGTATTATAACATGTAGTAAGTCAAATATATGTAAATACATAAAATAGAAAACAAAATATGTATTGCTAAGGTTTAGGTCGGACTTATTATTAATAGCTGTCGCTGGATTGGCAAATTATTATTGTCATTTAACCAAGTCCTATTTACATGCAATGTCAGTTGAAAAAGGTTTATTGAAATCTGCTGCTTTGATATGGTGTTTAGTGTTTATTAATGAATAATAATGCTGTTGAATTCCCTACAACTATGTTATGATTTTAGTACCTTACGTTTTGCTTCAGGCTTTGTCAATAATTTCATGTGGTTCTTTCTATGATCAAGGCATTAAAAATCTTAACAGAGGGTTTTTTTTTTTTTTTGCATTAGAACAGGATAGTGCTTTAATGCATGAGTTTATAAGTGCTCATTACTGTTGTGGACATTAGCTTCTGTGTGGTCAGTTGTCAATAATGCAGAATTTATGGGAAATCACTTTTTTCTCTTTTCCCTTTATCACCATCATCCCATTCAATATGACTATTGACTCTGATTTCAAGAAAGTGTGGGGGTAACTAAGAAGACCACCTTTCTCTTAGTTTCTGAGGCTTGATTTTCTTGGAAACATTAACTTCTTAGAGACTGTTAGTCTTGATAGGTCGTAAGGAGCTTATTTTGTAGGATCCCTCCTTTCGTGTATATCGTCTCCCTTTTAATTATCCTTTGCACAAATTTCCCAGTGCCTTCATAGGGCTGAGGTCCTGTTTCTTATAGTGGAAAGTGATCTGATGAGTAACATGACAACATGTTAAGTCATCTAAGGGCATTTTCATCTTAAGTGAGATCACCAGAAAAAATAAAGGTAATCTATTGTGGTAATTTATTTAAGCAGTTCTTATATCTAAAACACCAGTACTTAAAAATACCTAGGAAAAATCTAAATAATAGCTCACTGGTACTGGAAGGAAATTAACCTAAAGGAGTGAATTTCTAAACTATAGTAGAATTTAGTCACTATGGTACCTGGGAAGGAAAGAAACTTTCAAGGGATATATGCAAGTTGGCTTTTTTATACTGTTCAAGTTATGACAATTAAGTCATCATTCAACTCAAGTATGAAGGTTTCCTTACCTCTGTATGTTCAACTTATTGAAATTTTTTGAAATCAAATAGAATTTGGGAAATCTGTGGATCTTGGCATCTCTACCAGAGTTCTTTGATAGCAAGCCATGTCTTTTGTAGCTTTGTGTCTTAGAACTATTTAGTAGATACTTAATTACTGAATATATTTAATAGTAGATATTTAATAAAGATGAGTATGTTTAGTGAGTATATTGATGTCATCAAAAATTTAGTTGCAAATACACTTCTGCACAGGTGAGGACAGTCACTTATTTTTTAAAAGATTTTTTTTTAAATGTAGACCCTTTTTTAAGGGGCTTCCCAGCTGGCTCAGTGGTAGAGAGTCCACCTGCCAAACAAGAGACCTAGGTTCAATTGCTTGGTGGAGAAGATCTCCTGGAGAAGGAAATGGCAACCCACTCCAGTACTCTAGCCTGGGAAATCCCATGGACAGAGGAGCCTGGTGGGCTACAGTCCATGGGGTCACAAACACTTGGACACAACTAAGCAACTAAACAGCAGCAGCAATGGAGAAAGATAATGTTACAGAGGAGATTCACCTGGAAACACTACTGGGATCTCAAAACATTGGCAGTAACATTGTTTAGGAGAAAGTTAGTAATAAACTGTGTAATCTGCAGTTACACAGAGTTGGCCCTGGCTTCAGACAGAATAGTCAGGTGTTCTGGTGCCCAGGTGAGAGGAGAATAACCTCGTTTAGTGATATCAGTTGGTAAACATCCATTGGCGCTCTACCAGGGTGATGTGTATTGACCAGATGGTTAAGTGCAAGCACAAAACCAACGGCTGAGAAGTTTATTTTTGATAAATTGCTCATTGCCACCTCTTTGATACTAAAATGAGTATCAAATGAATATGAAAATGGGTACCATAGGCATTCAATTTCTGTATTAAATAAAGGAAAAAAAAAAGCAATCCATTGCTCTTCCATTTAGACCAATCTAAATTGATTATCCTCCTCATCTTCCATTTACTCCGCTACATGTCTCTCTTAAACCATAATTTCAGGAGTAAAAGTATTTATACATTTTTGCTGAGATCGGGGATTTTAATATGCTGAGCAACATATCATTCAAGGAGCTGACCTGCAGTTTTCTGATTGATAATGGAAATGTTAATGTATTGTTAGGCTTCTTATTTTTGGCCTAAAGTGAGCTAATAACTAGAATCATTATGTTGTGCCTGTAAAGTGTGTAGGCAAAAGGGAAGGTGCAGAAGTTGAAGTCTATTTTTCAAGTTAATTATAATGTTGGAAAAATGAATTAGCCAGAAGGAAAAATCCAATTTCACACCCTTTTGCTGGTAAAAGGGTGGGGGAGGGGGTGGAATAACCAATTTCTAAACTCTGTAATGCTATTCTTTGGATAAGTTTGTTGCAAAAAGTTTCCCCATTAATCTATGTCTTGTAGTTATTAGTACAACACTTGTTACCGTGGAACCTAAGATTGCACTGAGTGAAACACACCATTGCTCCAGATTTGTTGCCAGTCTCTCTGCTCTGATGCTTTCATGTTGCCATGACATTCCAAAGAGCAGTTCCCCAGTCACCTCGAGTCACCTACTAGCTCTGTGCCTGCAAGGCACATACTGAGTCTGAAGGAAAGTGAGAGAGAAGATGAAAAATAAATGCCAGGAGTGATGCCTGGCAAGTTTCCAGTTGCTTCTTTACTCTTGGGGGCAGGTCTGTGACTTGCATTCTTAAGGGGATGGGTATCCCATCCAGTGGGAGGGATCAGTGTTTGAAGGATACAGAAATCTGAGGCATTACAGTGGCTTGTCGCCTCCTAAGGGCCATGGTATACAGATCAGCAGTGTATCAGTGGCATTAAGATGTCAAAGAGATGCAGTTAGGAAAAAAACTAAGAAGATCGATTAGAGGGGATATAATGAAAAAAAAAAAAAAAGATTAAGACACATGGCTTTGTGGGGAAGAAATTGGGTCCTTTTGCCTTTTTTCTCAAACTTTCCAAAGCACTTGATTTGATCAAGTGGACTCTGGATACCCATATGCTGGTTCATGGTGTCTAAGTCCCACAGGGACCCCAAGTTTGCCTCGATGTGGGCAGAGGGAGAGGCCTAATCCCCAAAGTATTGGCCCTTACATGTTATTCTCTGGTTCTAGTTCTCCAGCTCCAGGAGACAGGGGCTGAAAAACCAGTCAAATACTAGTTGCAGAGTTATGCACTACTATGTAGAATAGCATATATAGAGTTAATTGTGATGAGCAACTCTGAAAGACTTGAAAATCTTGGGAGCATTTTTATGCTGGCCGGTTTTACTGTGTTTAGAGGAGAGGACTAAGGTTTTTCTTTTTCACCAGAACAATTTAAACTTAAACTCTTTGTAAACGTCAGCATTCTAAATAACCATCCCTCTTCTCTATTATGTTACTATGGTTGGGGGTGGAGATTTGGGAAATGGTGAAGGAAACACACTAGCTGCTCTTTCCTTGGTCCCACCTTCTCCCTCTGTAAGTACAAAGAGTCTCAGTGAAAAATAAGTGCCCCGGAAGACCGAGGACATTTTCCTAATCTGGTTCCTTTGGTTACATCATCTCTGGTCCTCTGTTTCTGGAGTAAAACTGCAGCTGTGCAGTGTAGACCTTGAGCAGCTGAAGGGCCAGTTAACAGAGTCTTGGGCTGACACATTCACATCCAGAAACCTCTTTGGATACAGCCTACCTGGAAGTTTTTTGAAAGCTCTCACCTCTGAGGCTGAGCTCTGTCAGTCAGGAAATAACAAAAAAAGCAATCAGTAAAATTTGGAAATGACATTAGAATCTAATGATCGTTCTTCTTTGCCATGTATTTTTGCAGAGTGAATCATTCTACAGAATGAGAGAGTGGTCAAGCAGATATTTATCAAGTGCCAGACACTACTGCCAACATTGCCAGGAAGTAAAAAGCAGTCTGAGTGTGACGAAGATAAGAAAGTATAAACCCAGCTGCGATAAAAAAGCAGAATTTGAGCATGTCATAAGAGCATACAAGAATGGATGACCAAAGAAGAATAGATTACACCAGACTGGAAGGGCTAGGAGAAGCTCCCTGCAGAAGTGACATGTGAGGTAGGCCTGCAAACAAGGAAAGTGTTTGAAGGCAAGATGGTGGGAAGCATGTTCCAGGGGGAGGGTGGAGGTGAGCAAAGCTTGTCACTGGGAAAACACCAGGTGTGTTAAGGGAACAAGCAGCTGCTTCTTGGACTAGGAAGTTAGATGTGACATTTGAGAGCACAGTGTCCTCTGCGGAGGGCAGAGCTACCTTGTAAATGTGGAGGAAGGAGGAGCGGAGGTAGCAGGGGCTTCAAGCTTAGACAGCTCTTCAGAAGGCCTGGCGTGGAATTCAAGGTCAGAACAGCTTACTCTGCAGCAACACCACATGCATCGCAATTCTGCAGGGTTGTGTGAGTGCACCCCCTTGATTGCAGGCCCAAACATCTTGGTATCTGTGTGAGAGACCCAACACTGAATGGCCATGGGGGAGAGTTTCAGAGAGACAGGCTCTCTTTTCTCTGTACTACTCAGAATTCAGTGGGTCTCTCTGAATCCAAGATGAAGTCCTAGAGGAAATGTGTGATGCAGGTTGAATGGAGGCCCCTGATTATGCTAAGGCAGTAGCACTCCTCCCCTGGTTTTCTTGGGTACCATAATCAAGTCCTGACCTCTCTGGACTTCCTTTTCCTGGCCTCATGGATGGTGCTATTGCCTTCTCTATGTCAAGATCCAATTAGGATCTAAGAGGAATATTTATGAAAGCACTTTGAAAATTTTTATTTCTAATGTAGTATGAACTGGTAGTTTTGATTAATAAATTAACTTTTTTTTCATGAGCTGTTTGCTCCATTGGCCTGAGCAAATGCAGAATCTGAGCCTTTAGGAGTCATTTTAAACTCATAGATCAATTGAATGTAAACATTAGAAGGGACTTTAGTACTGTCTAGTTCTCCTCATCTGCTGAAAGGCAGACCATCATAGAGATTAAGAGTACAGATGCACATGTAAATCATAAAAGAGTACAGATGCTGGAAACAGATTGAACGTGTCCAAATCTCATCTCTGCTTCTCAGTTACCTGATTTTGAGCAAGATTATTTTAACCACCACATGCCTCAGTTTCCTCGTCTGTAAAGTGGTGATGAAAAAACGTTCCCTATCTCATAGAGTTGTTGTGAGGAGTTGGTGCATGTGTGAAGTGCCCTGAGGGTCTGCACACAGACGATGCTGTGTGCACTGGTACAGTTAGTTCAATGGGCTCGCTTTTGCAGATAAGGATACTGAGGCCTGGAGAAGTGAAGTGACTTGCTCCAGGCATTCATTTGCTCCGCAGCTGAGCCAGGACTAGAACATGTTTACTGTCCTCTGTTTATTCAGTCTGCAGGATTTGCTTCTGATGAACATTTTAAAATGAAGAAAAATCTTCAAAATCTCTCAGGTATCAGGTGGGAGAAAGTCAGATATCTTCAGGGAGAAGGAAGAGCCTCTCAGAAAGAACTGTGGAAAATGTGTCCTTACATGTAGATTAAATTGGATAAATTCTCTGAGAGCTATTCACACCAAATATACCCCCATGGCTGCCTTGTCTCATTCTCCTGAGGCATTTACCTCACACTTGCTGGACTGGGTCTTTTTGCACACTGGATGAAAATCATGCAAAGTTCTCCCTTGGCTGTAGGAAGAAATAAATTGTAACCTGTTGCCTTGAGAGCAGAGTTTACATTTCTCCATACTTGTATTCCAGCACAGCATCTAGGGTACTCGCTAGCCATCCACTAAATTGACATGGAACAAAATATTGTTTAGCTTTTGACAGCGGAGAGAAGTTCTGCTTATGCAGCCTCACTCTTGTCTACTAGAGACATTTGTTTTCTGTTGTTTCTACCCAGATCAGGGATTCACACACAAAGCAATGAGGGGCTCCTTCCTGGTCCTTCGGAGGAGCCTCCAGACTTCTCAAACCTCAGTTTATGTACCCCTGAATCCACAAAAGGGGAATCATAACCAGGAAAATGTCTTGCACATAAAGAGCATCGACCTGCAACATGCTTGACCACCTGAGGGGAGAGATGTTAGGAGGCTGGGGAGTGCTAGGAAATAATAAAAGGGCAGGGAAGCACCCCCTGGCAGCCTGCACAGGGGACCCTGGCTGGACAAGGAGGTCAGCCACAGAGAGGGTGTGATAACAGTGCACACCTATAAAGGGGCCCAGTGGGGCCTTCCATCCTCTTCTGTTCCCTGGAGGCTCAGGAAAGACAGCTGGACCAGGGCTCCAGGGCCTGGGAGAGGTGAATCCCTGTCCTGCCTGTCTGTGCCAAGGAACAGTATGATAGCACGCTAGAATGTAGGTGAGGCCAGCTCCTAGACAGTCAGCATCCCACTCACATTTGTGGACCACTCAGGATTCCATTCCAGGCACTTGTGTTCCAGGCACTGTGTCTAAGTTCTTTATATGCATTATATTATTCAAATATTATCAAAACTCTATGTGGTATGTATGGATTATTATATTATTCCCACTTTGCAGAAAAGTAAATTGAAGCGTGCTGTGCTTAGTCACCCAGTCATGTCCGACTCTTTGAGACTCCATAGACTGTAGCCCGCCAGGCTCCTCTGCCCATGGGGATTCCCCAGGCAAGAATACTGGAGTGGGTTGCTATGCCCTCGTCCAGGGGATCTTCCCAACTCAGGGATTGAAACCAGGTCTCCCACATTGCAGGTGGATTTTTTACTGTCTGAGCCACCAGGCAACCCAAATTGAGGCTTAGAAAGGCTGTTATTTGTCTGAGGTCACAGCTTAAAAAAGGCATATAGTTGGGGCCTGAACCTGTCTCTCTGGCACTTGGGCCCATGCACTTCACCACTAGACTAAATAGTCACCCAACAGTGCAAGCTTCCTGGGAAAGGGATTATGTCTACTTGTATGTCTTGGCAGTCTCTTAGCTTACCTAAGATCAGAGAGGTGAAAGACCACCTAAGTGCTGGCAGAGAGCTGAGGATTTGGAATTTGTGGATAGAACTTCTCTGGTTATAGAGGATGATCGTGAAGGGCAAGATAGTTTCCTCCTTAATAGCAGGAAACTAGAGCTGACTTGTAGTTAAATAAAATAGGAAAAGTGCTATTCTTAAGGACCCATAGAATCCATACAAACTAGAAGGCTTTGTCAAAATGAAGTGAGCACCAGAGCAGAGAACAGGAAGATGAAAGTGTGTCTAGAAATCATAAGCATTTATGAACAAGTGAGAGACCCTTTGCCTAGTGGAAAGGTGGTGGTACATTTTAGAGGTACAAGGAGTGAAATCCTGAGAAGGGAAATCTACCTCAGTACCCCTCCAGGTGGGGCCGCAGCTGGAGAGCATCTATCACCTGGCATCTTATTAGAAATGCAGATCTGGGGGCCTACTGAATCAGTTTCTCAAGAAGTGAGATCCAGAAATCTGGGCTTCTTATCATATTACAATTTGAGTAGCACTGTGTTACAGTCTTTTCCCCAGATTCCATCTCATGTCAGCCCTGGCAGTGCTCCAAGCTTTAGGACAGCACATCACCCTGAGATGCCAGGCAGTCAGTGCTGAACCTCAGAGCACTCATCACTCATTTGGCACTGAGGGTGATGCCCTGGACTGTGGCACTTTCCTATCACTCTCTGTTACTACTCAACTGCTAGAGACATTTCTGCAGCAGGTTCTGCAGCAGGTTCTGTCATCCTTACATCCCACATCTGAAGATACCAATAAGAGGAGATGACAAGTCACATCTATTTCTGGCACATGAGGAAGAACTGATTGTGACTGTGAACGATCCTCTAAGTTTAACCTTTTAGTAACACTTTCTCTACAAAGTGGGAAAGAGAGATGCCCACTATAAGACAGAGAACCCAGTAGCTCTGTATTTCAAGAAAAAATAAAAGAGGTTTTAAAAATATTGCCTAAAGAGGGAGAATGTTCACATCTATTTTGGAATGGGTAAAAGTGAGTGATTTGTTGTGTTACTGGAAGATTTGATCTAACGTGTCCCAGGTGCTTTCAATTTGTCACTGGTCCAGAGAATACTCAAAGGGTTACCTGGTAGCATCTCAGAAGGTGATACTGCTACATATCTCCCTCATCAAAACTCAAAATGCCTGAAATGTCATCATTAGAGATGCCTTGTTTATGGCTAAATATTCCACCCAGGTATCTTTCTTAACAGATCTGGGGAAAATATGGCCTACTGATGTTAAAACCCCCATGTGAGTTGGGACTCTGGGGATCTGAGGCATCTGGGGATGATGCAGAAGGAATGAGAAAGGAGAGAAATGATGCAGAAAGGGAAAGAGTAAGTTTCCTAAAGTTTATCTTGTGTGAAGCCATCATTCTCCCTAACATTTCTTTGAGCTAACCCACTAACCTGCCTAGAGCCAGCTTTAGGAGTTCCCAGTTTAAGATGCATTAAATGCTCCTGGTCAGGGAGCCCTGACCAGAGAACATAGCTGGTCCTTTTGGCTTTGGTCTGTAACTGAGTAAAGAGCAGTTTCTTTACCAGTGAGGGGCACTGCTGTAAGCACAGGCAGTGCTGTCAGTGTGGGCAGTGTTGGATACTCCCCTCCCTTCTTTCATCTGGTTACAGGCTTGCAGGTCACATGCCAGGTCCTGATGCATGCTTCCTTAGGTTTTCTATCTCCTTTACCAAATATTATCTCTACTGCTGACCATTCCACATGCAGAACTATGTTCTATGGGTTTTGAGGACTTCAGGAGTCCCTTCTAAAATAAAATATCCTTGGGTGTGGTTATACTTTGTTTTACTTTCTGTTATCCACTTAACCATCAATTAATAATAGCAGATTTCAGTTATGCTCTTTGACAATAAGGAGGTTATTTGGGGAGATTGTGATATAATACCAAAGTGTTTCACTCTCCAGAGTGACAGGACTTTGTAGAGATGTAGAAAGGACAATAGAAAATAAAGTGAAAAAAATAGAACTTGCCAAGATAAATACGGCAACTATGATGATAAACTGTCTCATGTAAAACAGTAGTGTTGTAAGAGACTCATGTAATTGTAAATGATGGTGATTTAAGGCTTTTGGTTTTTAAAAGTTGCTATTTAATAAGATTTGATATTTAGATGCATTTTCTATGGCTTAATTATATAATTATGTGTATGATATGTTATATATAATATATATAATATTTTTAATGTATTTATTTAGTTGTAGCAGGGGATAAAATATGGAGGAATTCCTGAAGGAATTAAATTTTAAGCCAGTGTTTCAAAGAAGCAGGAACTGAAGAGAGAAAGGGAAAAGCGTAAAAGGATGGCGTAAGCCCAGGGAGGGTAGAGTCGCCGGCGAGAGTCTACAGGCTGCTTAACTAAGGTAGAGTGGCCAAGGGGAGGAGGTCAAATGGAGGGATCAGCTGATGAAGCAACCAGGGTGGCACCCGCCGGAGATGGGTCTGGAGGTTCCTAGGGAGCTCCTGAGCAGGATGACTCAATATGAAGAGTGTGAAGGAGGGGCTGGAGAGGCAGTTAGCCCAGTGCTGACAGAAGAGACAGAGAACTACAGGGTATGAAGCGGCTGGTTACTCTCAGGTCATAGGAGGGTGAATCTGAGAAACAGACAGAAACAGTATTTCTACTTCCCTCTTAAACTGGGAGTGGGGGTGTCTATTCTCAGATCTCTCTGTGCTCTTTTATCAAGGCTAGTCCTTGGACAAAGGTGATGAGACCTGGGGGATGGTTACCCCTGGTTAGGGCTACAGATAGGCCAAGTGACTCTTTCAGGTGATCTTAGCCTGACCCTATGAAGGGGCTCAGGCTCCCTTCTGTGGTCTGTTGAGATGAACCATTAGCAGAGCCATCTTGTCCAGGGAACCAAAAGTACCTTTGCCTGTTGGTAGAACCAGGGCAAATGCACCCAGCAGGTTGGTGGCTGGCTCTGTTTTTGGAGCCCCCAAAATGATAATAATCATTTTAACAAAAATTCCAGATTGAAACAACAAGCCAAAATCTCAAAGTGACTCTTCAAATAAGTGGGCAAACTATGTTAATTAATCATTTTCAAAAGATCTTCCCCCATAGCCCTTCAAATTGATTTAGAGACTGTCTTTATTTGAGAATAGAGAAGTAAAGAGAAAATTCATTTCAGTCTGACTTACTCTTAGTCAGTTTAGAGAGACAAAGTCACAATTGGTGTTTGAGGGGGAAAAATTGAGCTCCAGATGCTTCATGGAAAGAGGAAAGCTTCCATTTACTTCTCATCCTTAAAGAACACACCTTCAGGAAAATTACTGAAGGCTGGGAAATTATGAATATCAAATTAAGTAAATAAGGAAACCAGTGAACAGCTGCAATTTTCTGCCAGAGGTTTTTGTTTTGTTTTGTTTTGCTTTCCTATTTAAGAGATAGGAAACCTTTTATGCATTGGGTTTTCCAATTGATTCCAAGAGTATATTATGCTAATAGTAGCTTTACAAAATAAAAAGATGTTTGGCTTTCTATTCTGAGTTTCAGGCATGGGGGTGCATCACCACCGTTCTATCATTCTTATTCACTCTGATGAAAGAAAAGAAGATTGAGCATTAAAAGCTGAAGGTCATCCATACAGTGGTCCCAATAGCAATCTATGTACCTTTAACCCTGCGGAGGAAAAGTAATTACCCTTTGACTTCTGGTGACCTCAACTAACCTTTGTTGAAGGGCCAGAGAAAATAAAGGCTGACCATCGGCCTGCCCTCACTGCCCTGGGCTTAACCTGCTGTGTGAATGAAGAACAGCCCAACAATAGGATGAGAGGATGTTGCCATGGAAATAGCCCTGGACGAAGGAGCAAAAATCAGAAATTTATCACAATTAATGGTTTTATTAAAAACCTCCCATCTTTTGGATTATTCCCTGGAGAGTCAGGAGGATGTGCTCTCATTTAGATCTTACAAGAGGAAAATTCTGCTCGAATGAATGAAGCAACCCATACAGTAAAACCACAAGTTGTGGCTAGAACTAGACAGTTTTCTGAGAGGATCTACATGTTCACATAACTTACACAGATGCAAATGCAAACAGTCAGGATGAGGGCTTCAAAACCTCACACTACCAGAAAAATTGGTTGAAGTGCAGATTTGGGCATCTGTCTTTGAATATGTTCATCTGATGTTGCCTGTACTTCTATGCCTGAGCAAGGTCTGGAAGATATAGGAGATCATATTTAATACTATATCAGTGAACAGAATTGCAGTGTCTCATTTTGTCATCCTTACTTAACCTTTGTGTTAAATAGACTCTAACTTCTATGTGTTTTTAAGGTGAATTCATTTAGATTAGAAAATAGAAACTTGCCACCCAATTATGTTCAGATTAAACTAGACGAGCCCAAGACACTCTGGCTGATATGGGCTAATTGAAGGAAAAAGAAGCCAAGTGAGTCAGAGACAGTTCTTTTAAGAAGAGCCTGTGAATTATCTCTCAGGTATTATCAGACTTATTTAGAAGCAATAATATTGATTTTTCACATTAGAATATTTTCATTTATTTTTCATTTTTATTTTATGTTAATACAAGGATTAAATCAGACTTTTAGAAAGCAAAAATGTGGAGATTTTTATTAGTTCTTTCATTTATTTTTATTAAGTAGATTAGTGCATTGTTAAGTAGATAAGAATTGGATATTACCTCTTTTATTTTCCTTTTTCTTTGTAGATGCTAGAATAGCAATGTGAAACACTCATTTGTTGTATTTCCTAAATAGTGAGTTATTTATGTTAATCAGTTTTAAAAATAATTTGAGGTACTAAAACAAAGCAGGCGGTTAAGCTCAGATATTGATTTTCTTTTTAATGGGTATTTCATCAGTGAAATTCTAACCACCAATAAAGGAGAGAAAATTGTAGCAGGTGTTTACTGAAGACCCCTTTCACAATGAGATCTGCTTTTTTTTGGTTATGGCATGAGATGGCAACATGAATTTCATTTACGCATTTTAACTCCAGATATTTATAGGAGATTAATCTCATATTGGAGAGAAGCCTTATTCAGTTTTCATTAGAACTTGGAGAGTTATGTTTAATACACATAAACTTTTAAAACAAAAGAATGCTGTTGGCACTCTGTTAACTAACAATGAAATTCAATTCTTGAGCTTCCTGTTTACTTATCTCCTGCCTGCAGTTAGTTTATCACTCATTCTGTGTATTCCTCCTATTGTTAGGGCCAGAATTCTCCATTTGCTGACACTCCAGGTACCCGGGGCTGTTAGGCCCATCTCAAATAATATAGTAGACGTGGCTAGACTGGTTAAACAAACTCTGTGGCCTTTGGCAGACTTTTAATCTTTTTCTTTGCTATAGATAACAGTTTTTCTTAAGTGGCAGCAACACATCTCTAAAAATAAACCTGCAACACAGTCTTGCTTGTGCTTACCTTATAGTTCAGCAGCACCTTTCTTGTGATCGTGCTTCTTCATTCCCACCTCCTTTAGTTGTGGGGGGAGCCCATACCTGCTTGTAGGGCACTAGTACATTTCTTCTGGCTGTGGTACCTGCAGCCTTGAGCTTGGTCTTCAAGGTCCTTACTATATTTGGACCATCTCCAGATTTTCTGTTTATTAACCTGCAGCTGGACAGCTTGACTGAGGCAGTGGAACCAAATGTGAAGATGGTAAGGAGTTTCTGTTGTTTTACCTGTTTGGGCCAATAGAAGAGTGAAATAGAGAGTGATGATACAGATCAAAATGTAAACATTAAGTCTCATCTGTCCTTAGGGGAAAGCAGCAGATATTCGCTCAGTCTCGGTCTCCTCCATTCAGAGTGATTATGTGTAGTTTCTGCTGATTTGGGTAATCACTTCTATATTAAAATTACTGAAAGCTATTTTACTATATATCATTTACTTGTAGAGTACATTTTTATTGCTCTAATTTTGTTTAAAGGAAAGACATCATATGTATTTATTTAATTTACATAAAAATCTTCCCAGAATAATTTTGCAAAGATCAGGGTAAATCAGATTTCTCAATGACAAGGTATTTAAATGAAGACATGAGAGTATTTATTAGTTTATAACTAATAGTGCTTCAACTTAACTGCTCTTCAATATCAGCCATAAAAATGATATTCAAGTATGAAGAGTCATTTAAAAGATGAGGACTACAGAGAATAGTCCTATGTATTTTTTTAGTTATCAACTCTTTGCTTACAATTCTTAATCCTATGTATGCATACAACTACTAAATAAATGTACAGGCTATGCAGTGTAAATGAGGGACTAAATTCAATATTCCAGAAACAAAAGGTTAAATATGCAATAAATGAAATAAAAAATTAGATATCAAATATACATGGAAAAATTCTGAAAATTGCCATTCAATGCACTTTGAATATACACATTTAAAAAACAACATGGAGTTTTGTTATGAGAGTTTAAGATAATTTTTAGAGAACATACATATTTTAAACAAACATCATGACATTTTGTGTGCAGAGTTTACAATAATTTGGGGTTGAATGGATACTTTCAACTGAAGAGGGGAAAAGTCAATTTTAACGGTATATGGGTGTTAATATTACCAGCTCCAAATTAAGCATACATTAATGGCATGACATTATTCTGCTCTGTTCAGTATTTAAAATATCTTTCCAAGTATTATGTGCAGTGTAATGGATTGTATATAAATATAGGGGGTTGCCTAATTGTGATTTTTACACTGGATTTGAGTTAAAGGATGCAAAAACATTGTTAAAAATTATATGGCATCAATGTTCCTTATAAAAGGACATAATTCAGCCTTTTTCAACAGACTGATAGAAATATAATGCTGTTAAGCTCTCCATAGTTTCAAGCACAATGTAGAAGGAAAGTAACTCACAAAAACACATTTTGATCTATTTAAATGCATCTCAAAAAACAAAGATATTCCCAAGAAATGGTCATATATGCCTTTAACAAAGTCTTACATGGTTCATCCTGAGTTTGAAGCAGGGAGTAGAATTTTAATAAAGCATGTCATTTTAAACTATATATTATATCATTCTAAAGCAAATTATTAACCCAGCTGAAAGTCCCAACCACCAGAGTTCCATATACAATAGTACCATGTATCCATCTGGGAAGTCGCTGGATTTGGTGCCGTCTATTTGCACCTTCACACCACAAGCACATAAGTACAGTTAATAGCTAAGCCTTGAGCAACAGTATCAGTTACCCTAAAAGTTACCTTCAAGATTAAATACCTTTAAATGCTGCGGCACCCTGGATTTCCAGTTAACCAAACTATATTTCCAGCAGAAACTCCTGGAGTGTAGAGCAGTTCTTCTCTGTAAGCCCTTCTTGCTGGTCTTCTTGGAAAGCGGTGCTGGAACATTTTTTTTTTTTTAATCCTGTTGATAATTTGACTCTCTGTCAACTAGTGCTTGTCGACCCATCACTAGCCTTTCTTAGGGTGGAGTTGACTGGAAGGTTGAAGGGCTGAAGGCCATCATACATCATCTTCCCCTTCTCACTGTACCTTAGTATGAATAAGGCATCGGGACTATGAGGAAAGGAGGGAGAGCTGAGCTATCATATAGTCCACAGATTGCAGGCTTTCCCTCTGTCCTGCAGTGCTGGAGAAGGGGATTATTGCTGCAGGAAAAAAAAAAAAATCTGGCCACACTGTACAAATAATCACCGCAGTTCAGATCTCCCCCCACCTCCCTCTGTTCTCTCTCTCTCTCTTTCTGTCTCTCCCTCTCTCTCTTTCTGGCTCTCTGTGCGAGGCCCCAGCTGATTCAGGCTGCATCCATCCATACATAAATCATTCCCCTTATTCTATTGGTTACATGGTACATGGCAAGTATTGATTTTTTCCGTTGCCTCATTGCTGGAGAACACTTGGTTTTTGTGAGACAGAAAAAGAAAAAGAATAATAATAAAAAAAAAGACAGACCAAACCAAATAAAACAAAATCCTCACTGGAGTTCAGTCTAGATAAAAAATTATCAGGCAGGTTTGTACCATCCTAACAATAAATGTGTTCCAAAAAGAGCATACTTTGGGTAAGGCCCTTTCCTATCTGTTTGCATGTTCTTCCAGTATACTCTGTCTCAAAATTAAAAAAAAAAAAATTGTTCCTGGTTGTGAAGAGCTCTGGGTGCAGGAATTAGGAGCGGCATACAGAAAGGGAGATGCTCTCTCATTGTGCAGGGCAAGAAGACATCTAATGAATCACTGTTAAACCAGGAAAAAAAGAAAGTTTAGTTAAAATACAACTTGTTCTAACAATAAGAATAAGGAGACAAGAATAATGCCTCATGGCCAAGTGACATGTATGGAATAGGAAGATGTTTTTCAAGGTTTATTTTGTGTGGTAATAAAATGTGTAAGGGTACCTTGTTTGTGTGAAGTATAAATATAGAATGTGCCTCAGCTGTCAAAATATTGTGTCTTTTCATACTAGAGACAGGACAGAGCCAAAAAAGTGAATTGGTCTTAGTTTAGGATTCTGACATTTGAGTAACAGAGATAGAGTGTTCTTCAGAACCTAAGTTAAAACACCCAAGACTCTTAATATGTGACTTGTCACAAAAACTAATTTGTTTTAAAGTGATAGTGACTCTTGGACTCAGTCCAAAGGGCTTTTATTTCTGAAATATCAAAATGACTTCTTTATGAGGTTATCTGATCCAAAGGATCATTCCAACAAACAAGAGGTTGTTTCAACGAGGAAATCATTATCAGAAGGTTACAGAGAAAGTATAAGGTGTGAAAAGACTGTAAAAAGCCCAATTTCAATGTTGAAACTTATATGACATTTGATTATCAAGCTAACAAAGGTTGAAGCTTAGGAACACACAATTCAGCATGCTCCACAGGTGACAGGAAATTTTCTTTTGGATTTCACTTAGAGCCATCAACTAACAAACATACCATGCACAAATTTCAGATGAGAAGTAGTAAGGGCTTCTTTAACTTACTTTTAAGGTTTAGAAGAATTTCTCCTAACCCAAAATATTTACTCTGCACAATAGAAAGAGTCTATTAAGTTAAGCTGTCAGTAACCTCAGAGGTTACCTCGGGATTTCTCCTCTGCCCTCACAGAAGCTGTGCTGGGGATTTCTTTTTGCTCTTTGTGTTTGTCAGTTGACGTTGTGGCCCTTGGTGCTTGGTTCATGTTTTGATGGGGTCTGCCCAACAGAAGATGCTGTGGAGCAAAGCCGCAAGGGACATGTCCGTGGGAGCTGGGGCAGCCCATCTAGGTGTGTGGCCCTTCTGTGCACATAATAACGTATCTCTTTCTTCTTATTGTGAAGTTCCTTTTATTGAAGGACTCTGAACATCTCTTTTTGCATAGAAGTACTGGTTTATCTAACTTGCCATTTCAAGAGAACCTCTATGAATGAAGATGTGGAAGGAGGGAGGCCTGCCTGGAATTTTGTCCAAATTAAGGTTTTGTTGTATTGTTTCGTTTATGTGGCTGTTATTATTTTGAACTCCAATTTAGATGTGTGTTCTCTCAGCAGTCTCTCTAAGGAGAGTAAGATGCCTCTCTACGTACCTGCATGGTGAATGTGTCCACAAAGGACCTTTAGATTTAAAAGGGAAACAGACAAGAAGATAACAAAAGTGATAGGAAATGCTTTGAACCTGACTTTTTTTCTCTCTCTCAACCTTTCCCAATCCAACAACTTGAACAAATGTTTATTGAACACTTCTTGGGGACCAGGGTTTACTGGAACGAGGGGAGGCTTCCAAGATATATGCTGGTGCTGTAACCCAGCACAAGGACCTCACCCAGTAAACACTCCATGTCCAGGCTGCTGCCCAGCAGAGGCGGGTCCCTTCCGTCTCTCCCTTGATGAGGCTTTGGCTGTGTCTCTCTTTTGTATTCTCTATAGGTTGCTTCTCTAGAAAAGTCATATAACTACATTAGGTCATTAATACCCTTTTATCCTCATTAGCTGTAACAAGATTTAAGTGACCAGCACAGAGCCTTGCCTATGCACTTTATGACAATTTGAGACCCTATGGACCCAAATGGAGAGATAACTAATCAAAACTAAGGATTATCACGTAGTGAGGAGTTTAAATGCATTGTCATATAATTTTCACAACAACCCTGTTTCTAAATAATCTTATTTTATGCCCATTTTAAAGATGAGGAAATTGCGGTGGAGAGAGGTCAAGTGTATTGCCTGAGGCTGACCAGTTACTAAACTGGGGAATCAGGTTTCAGACTCCTTCTGCTTTTAACCCCTGCTCCTGTAGGGGAGCAGAGATGGCCAGGCTGGCTGGCTGAGGCCCCTAAATTCCAGCTGGGAGTCTTTTGAGAGAGGTTATGACCAGGAAATGGCTTCTGTGCTGGCCCTGAAGCATGTTACATTCCACAGTTTTTGTACCTTTTGGGTATACTTTGAGTCACCATGAAAAAAAAAAAGGAAACATTTAAATCTGCTAGTGGAGATTATTACCATTAGAAGGAATTTGTGTGTGTGTGTGCGCGTGAGCCCTTTTGAACATGAATTTAACTTTTAGATATGAAAGTGTTTACCTATTAAATTACCTGTTAGGGTAGTCCTGGACATTCCTGGATGGGGTTTGCCTAAGACGAGGCTCACCCAGAGAAGTGACAGGGGCAGGCCCCAGCAAATGGGAATCCCAGGCAGCGTTCAAACACTGCTGAGCAATAGTGACTGTCCATGACAAATGGCAGGTATGCTCAGTTGAATTCATAGGTTTTCTTTTTTAAAAAATTATTATTATTAAAAGGTTTATTTTGTCCTTTCTTTTTTAAAATTATAGTTTATTTACAATATTACATTGTAAATCATACGTTGTACACCTTAGTCTCAGGTGTACAACATGGTGATGCAATATTTTTATAGATTATATTCCATTTAAAGTTATTAGAAAATATTGGGTATATTTCCCATGCTGTGCAATGCATCCTTTAGCCTATTTTACACCAATAGTTTGTACTTCCCACCTCCCAACCTCTGTATAGCCTTTCCCCACCCCACTGGTTACCATTAGCTTATTCTCTATATCTGTCTGCTTCTTTTGGTTATATTCACTAGATTGTATTTTTTAGATTCCACATATAAGAGATATCATACAATATTTATCTTTCTCCATCTGACTTATTTCACTTAGCATGATGTTCTCCAAGCCCATTCATGTTGTTGCAAATGGCAGACTTTATTTTTTATGGTTGAGTAGTATTCCAGTGTGAGTGTTTGGAGGGGCACATCTTCTTTACCCATTCATCTCTGATAGACACTTAGATTATTTCTTTGTTTTGGCAATTATAAATAATGCCGCTATGAAGATTGAGGTGTATGTACCTTTTCAAAGTAATACTTTTAGGTTGCTTCCATGTCCTGGCTATTATAAACAGTGCTACGATGAACATTGGGGTGTATATGTCTCTTTCAGATCTGGTTTCCTCGGTGTGTATGCCCATCCGCAGATGAATGGATGAGGAAGCTGTGGTACATATACACCATGGAATATTACTCAGCCATTAAAAAGAATTCATTTGAATCAGTTCTAATGAGATGGATGAAACTGGAGCCCATTATACAGAGCAAAGTAAGCCAGAAAGATAAAGACCATTACAGTATACTAACACATATATATGGAATTTAGAAAGATGGTAACGATAACCCTATAGGCAAAACAGAAAAAGAGACTCAGAAGTATAGCACAGACTTGTGGACTCTGGGAGAAGGTGAGGGTGGGATGTTTCAAGAGAACAGCATCGAAACATGTATATTATCTAGGGTGTGACAGATCACCAGCCCAGGTTGGGTGCATGAGACAAGTGCTCGGGCCTGGTGCACTGGGAAGACCCAGAGGGATCCGGTGGAGAGGGAGGTGGGAGGGGGGACCGGGATGGGGAATACATGTAAATCCATGGCTAATTCATTTCAATGTATGACAAAAACCACTGAAATGATGTAAAGTAATTAGCCTCCAACTAATAAAAATAAATGGAAAAAAAAAAAACAACAAAGTAATACTTTTAGTTTTTTTGGAGATAGGCCTAGGAATGGAATTGCTGGGTCAGATGGTAGTTCTATTTTTAGTTTTTGAAGAATCCTCATACTGTGTTCCACAGTGGCTATACCAATTTACATTCCTACCAATAGTGTACAAGGGAACTCTTCTCTACATCCTTGCCAACATGTTATTTATAGACTTTTTGAAGAGAACCAAAATACGACTCTTAATTCTCTTCTAATCAAATACTGCCAGGTGACACTAAAAAATTAGTGAGTGAATATTCGTTTGTAACATCATTTCCTGATCTTTACAAAAAGTTTGAAGTAGGAAAAAGTATAGTCGTGAAGTGGATTGACTAGCTTGTTTGCAGTCAGCCCCTTAAAGGAGGAAGCTGGTTTAAACTTGTCCTATAGGAACTGAGTGCTTCCCCGGTGACTAAAGAATCCACCTGAAATGCAGGAGACACAGGAGGCACAGGTTCGATCCCTGGTTCAGAAAGATCCCCTGGAGAAGGAAATGGCAACCCACTCCAGTATTCTTGCCTGGAGAATCCCATGGCCGGAGGAGCCTGGCGGGCTGCACTTCATAGGGTTGCAAAGAGTGGAACACAACTCAGTGACTTAGGACACATGCACAGAAACTGAATTCATGTTTTCCTGCTTGAGTCCCTTCCTTCCCAGTGTTCTTGGTCTCTGTAACACAGTGTTATTTACTTAAAAAGCATTTATGCAAGTATTGAAGGCAAGGAGCTATTTCAAGATGTAACAAATAATAATGTTGATGATAATTATAGAGTTGATAATAATGTAGACAAACCATCATCAGGCATACATTCTCCTTCCTTTCCATTAAATCCCTGTCATTGCTTTTGGTCTTCTTTGTGTCCATCTGGCTGATAGATTGACCAGTCCCAAAACACAGAGCCAGAAGGTGCATTATGATAGTGGAAATGTAAGATTATGCCCCAATAAAGCCTGCTCCCCAGTCATTTATTTGGTCTCCAGCCTGTGTCAGCAGCAGACAAGTCCCCAAAATCAAGAGCTGTTCAAGTTATCAGTATGTACTTCATGGCTTGGATGGATAAACAAAAGAGGTGTCGGGGAGAGAATCCAACCTATAACCTGTGTTATAAACCAGACCGATAAGAGCCAGGAAACAGTTATTTTACCTGAATTTATTGCTTAGCAACAAAGCCTCTACCTCGAGAGAATGCTATTCTATGGGTTACCAAGTAACTGACTGTGACAATTACCAAACAGCTGGCCAAGTAATCTACATACCCTTTAACCCCTGCCAGCTGAACAAGGGACTGTGGACAGCTCCCATACAATAGACGCACATCTAATATTTTATTGAAGAGTTGACAGAAGCCACAGCTGTATTGGTCTTGCACCCATATGGATTTAACGATTTTAATTTGGACATCCAACTCTAGAATCTGTTGTGCTCAAAGGGCTATTGAAGCAGGGGGGAGACACCAGAAACAGTTCCTACCAGAAGGCTACCTGTAGAGCTCTGGGAGAAAATTTTTCCTAAACACAAATTTTTGCTGAGAAGGAAGGCCCCTCAAAGATAGTTGTTTGGAGAAAGGCAAAACAAAATCTGGCACACCACAATTTCTTTCTTTTTTAAACTTTTATAGGAGCATAGTTGCTTTACAATGTTGTGTTATTTTCTGCTGTACAGTAATGCGAATCTGCCATACGTATCCGTATATCCTCTCTTTTTTTGGATTTCCTTCCCATTTAGGTCACCACAGAGCACTGAGTTTTCTGAACCCCACAGTAGGTTCTCATTATCTATTTCATATGTATTATCAATAGTATATATACATATATCAATCTTAATCCCCCACTTTATCCCACCTACCCTTCCCCCCTTGGTGTCCATATGCTTATTCTCTACGTCTGTGTTTCTATTTCTACTTTGCAAATAGGTTCATCCATACCATTTTTCTAGATTCCACATAATTAATATGTGTTTTTCTCTTTCTGACTTATAGTATTTTATTGATAAATGCTGACTTGTCTAGGCTATAGAATATAATGCATACACAATAGATTAGAACTTTCCAGCACTTAGATGTAGACAAGTGCTTTGTTGTTGTTCAGTCACTCAGTCATGTCTGACTCTTTGCGACCACAGAAACTGCAGCATGCCAGGTTTCCCTGTCCTTCACTATCTCCCTGAGTTTGCTCAAAGTCATGTCCATTGAGTTGGTGATAGCATCCAACCATCTCATCCTCTGTCGCTACCCTTCTTCTCCTGCCCTCATCAGGGTCTTTTTCAGTGAGTCAACTCTTTGCATCGGGTGGACAAAGTATTGGAGCTTCAGCTTCAGCATCAGTACTTCCGATGAATATTCAGGATTGATTTCCTTTAGAATTGACTGGTGTGATCTCCTTACAGTCCAAGGGACTCTCAAGAATATTCTCCAACACCACAGTTTGAAAGCATCAGTTCTTTGGCGCTCAGCCTTCTTTATGGTCCAACTCTCACATCTGTACACGACTACTGGAAAAACCATAGCTTTGACTATGCAGACCTTTGTCGGCAAAGTGATGTCTCTGCTTTTTAATATGCTGTCTATTATAAACAGTGCTGTGATGAACACTGGGGTGCATGTGTCTCTTTCAGATCTGGTTTCCTCGGTGTGTATGCCCAGAAGTGGGATGCTGGGTCACTTTATAATAGCCAGGACATGTAAGCAACCTAGATGCCCACCAGCAGACGAATGGATAAGGAAGCTGTGGTATATACGCCACAGAATATTACTCAGCCATTAAAAAGAATTCATTTGAATCAGTTCTAATGAGATGGATGAAACTGGAGCCCATCATACAGAGTGAAGTAAGCCAGAAAGATAAAGACCAATACAGTATACTAACGCATATATATGGAATTTAGAAAGATGGTAACGATAACCCGATATGCAAAACAGAAAAAGAGACACGGATGTACAGACAGAATTTTGGACTCTTTGGGAGAAGGCGAGGGTGGGATGTTTCGAGAGAACAGCATCGAAACATGTATGATTCATGTCAATGTATGACAAAACCCACTACAATATTGTAAAGTAATTAGCCTCCAACTAATAAAAATAAATGGAAAAAAAAAAGAAAAGAAAACCTATATATATATATATATATATATATATGCTGTCTAGATTTGTGATAGCTTTTCTTCAAAGGAGCAAGTGTCTTTAAATTTCATGGCTACAGTTACCATCCACAGTGATTTTGGAGCCCAAGAAAATAAAATCTGCCACTGTTTCCTTTTCATTCTAATCTATTTGCCTTTAAGTGAATATCACCATTTTAACACCAGAAAAATTGGATTTAGATACCCTGGTTCTAAAGGACCCTATTATAAACCCAGATTACATACCAAGTAATTTCTATTCTGGACTCTGAGGTGGGAAAATAAATCTCAAAATATATTTGTTTGCAGTATTTGAATGCATGTCTTTAGGAGTTTTACTTACATCTAAAATAATTTTCCCTATACCAGTGAACACTCCCCACAAACGCGTATACTTCAGGTTGCCAGCTTATGCATTTTCCACCCACAAATAGCTGTGGAAGGTGAGACTG